GTGGGAGTGACCAGCCCAGCAGCCTGAGCCCTTCCACAACTGCTGCTCGAGAACTAACGGTTTGCAGAGCACATGCTCTCCTCCGCCAAGAGGGGACCGATCACTTCCCACATGGTGCGCACTGCAGCACGCCGCCCCTTGCTTCGGACGCTCCTACTATGGAAACCTGGGAAAAGGGTAGGGCCGCGTGGATGCCTTCTTCATTGCTGCAGTACGGGATCAGACTCCTTGCTCTCTATGCTTCCCCAATTTGCTCCATTGGTCTCATCTCGGGATCTGAGCTTTGGAGGCTTTCCTGCCTTTGGCCGCTAGGCAACGTAGGACAGAAAGCGTGTCACATCTTCAGAAGGTTTCTGTCAGCTCCACATGGATCTGGAGAGCCCTGTGCAGGTCCTAATGTGTGCCAGAGTGTTTCTGATGGATGGGATGGCTTTGGACAGGATGCAGATAACGTGACCTCGGGGACAGTGTGACGGCCCGAATGCTGAATTAGTCGTGAGCATGACGTGTGCTTTGTAAAGGTGCAACACTGGATCCATGGGCTGCACTCGACTCCAGCACCCCCCTGGCTGCGGCAGGGACTACGAGGAAAGCTACTTTGAGTGGGTGAGCAAGGTTCCACTGTACGCCTCAGTCAAACGGTGCTTCGTGAGGGTGTCCCAGGCCATCGGAGGTCTCTGGGTTCTGCTCTGGGCACTCCAGGGAGAAGTGAGCAGTGACGCCACCTTGATGGATGGATGAAGCGAGATCTGTCTGTTACCAGTTGTTGCTGATACAATGGGCAGAGCTGCCACTTCCCCTTTTAGGGTCTGAGGTGTCATGATCGCAATCAGACTGGGTTGTAGGGATTCCCGGGTACATCTGGCCCTGGCCTGCGCAGGGATTACTGTGGTCCTAGCATGAGTACAGTATGGCAGCGATGAGCTTGTCCCAATACATAGCCGTCTCCTTTAACGCACCGGACAGCCAAGTTCAGCATTTCTGGTCATGGTGCAGGACTGGCCCCTGACAGAGAGAAAGCAACTTGCCCAAAGGCCTCGATGCTCAGGTCAGAAACTAGCTTCCTCCCAGGCAGTGAAGGATCACCAGGATCACTGCTGGGCCACTGGCCTCATTCATCCTTTATGTCAAGTGATTTCCAGATATGGCTTTGCAAAACCTGGCTCTTCTCCAGTGGTTGCACACAGATACCCTTTCCTGGCGTTCAGTCCAATTATTGTAGGGGTTTGGCCGGCTCTCTGTGGGTGTTACTATATCGGTATCCAGCCATACTGAGGCCAAGTCTACACTAGGAGTGCTCTACCAGGACAGGAACACTAGTACGCTATCCTAGTGTGGCCAGCTGTGCCGTCAAAGCCGAGCTCTGTACCAGTGTAGTAAAACCACCCCGCCACACATGAAACAAGCTCTACTGGTCATGAGCACATGATATAGCTGCCTCTCCAGCTCTGTTGGCTAGGGATCACGTCTCTTCCTGCCCCTGACCGAGAGAGCCATGCCTGCACGCGTCTGTAGTGTAGGCCTGGCCGGAGACGAGGCTGCAAACACCCCTGGATGTTAGCAGCTGAGCCATTCTTCTACAGCTTCTCATAGCCATGGAGAGGCATTGGGATCTAATAGGTTAAAATTCTATCTTTAATTTTCACACAATGCCTGTAGTGATCTGGCACAGCTTTACAAAGCAGAGCGTTGCCGGCATCAGCTGGTATGTCATTTAAACAGATTTGTTGGGAATATGTTACAAGGAAACATTTGCAGGAGCACAGCTGGTGGGTACAAGGTGAGCTCTGGATCTCACAAGACTGAAGATTTTTTTGCGCAGTGATCATTTTAGTCACTGACATGGTGGTCTCAGTTGCTAGAGGTCATACTGCCCTGTCACTTGCATCACTGTCTAGTTGTGAGATCTGGGTTAAAACAAAGTTGCTGAGATCTGCTGTATATCATGCTGTTATTCCAACATGTTTATCGCTTAATTATTTGAAAGCAAATTGCTGAGGATTTATGACAAAGTACGTTCCAACCCAGAAAGCTCCATTTCCTGACAGAGAGTAGGCAGATAAGGTGCCATTCCTTCTTGGAGAGCTGGCTTCTCTTTCCTCACCAGGCAGTGTTTGCCTTAATAGAAAAGGACAAATTCAACCTGCATGTAAAGCTGGGATAACTCCCCTCCCTCCAACATGTTCCACACCAGATCTGAATTTTTCTTATGAATATTTAGGACCAAACTTAACACGAGTTCTAATCTCAATCCTCGGAAAGAGTTTTGATAAGGAGGAATTGTGTCGATCTTGGATCTTTAATAACTACAGCAGTGTCATGACTTGTTTTCATTTCAAGATTCTATTAAACAACCTGTGAGAAGCTAAATGAAATTTATTTGATAAAAGCCAGTCTGGAAGATGTAAACCATTAATGTGTCTGATGCTGAGGCAGGGATCTTGATCTACGTTTACTTTTCAAAAAGCAAATCTTGCTCAGCTCTCAAACCACATAAATCAAACCGAGCTGTCCAGTTTTATTGGAGTTTCAGGCACACAAGAGAGCATGGGCTATAAAACTGCGATATTTTACATACGTGCACAACCGACTTATTCAACAGTTTACATTACACTCAACTGTTCTGACTTCCCTGGTTACTGGCTGGATAAAATATTTTTGTGGCTTTTAATTTTTGAGATTTTGTTCAATAATTCATTTGTCCTAAAAGAGGAAGTTAAGATTCTAGGCTCTTTGTACTTAGAAGCATACTAGTAATACTGTAGAAAAAATTAACAGTGAATGAGGAGGAGATGTTATAGAAACGTTGGATTTTTTTATTTACGGAGGGGAGGACGGAAGGATGTAAAGGTGCCAATCTTCTCTAGCCATTTAAACATGCACCTGAAGAGACCTTCTCTCTAGGACGGCCCGAGAAGGGTTTCATCATCGTTTCCCCACTCGTCTAGAGGAGAACCGATTCTGGGATACAGACACTTCAGATATATAGTGAAGCCAAGTTATTTAAAAAGAAAAAGAGCTAGACAGAAATATGATACGGTCTAACATCTGGAGCTGTCTCCGCTGCATTGCCCCTTTTGATGTTTATTGCATTCGGCTTTGACTCCACAAAGCAAAAATCGCGGTCACCTGATGTTACACGATGGCAGTAGCCTCTACAAAAGCGCTCCATCACGGCCAGCTAACAACATTTAGTTGTGTCCATATCTTTTCCCTAGAATTCACACTGTGAATCCGTCTAAGATCACTGCACAAAGCAGCAGTATACCTCCTTTACCAGGACTGCACGAAGAAGGCTCAAGATGGAGCTCGGCCAGGGTGGGGAGTGAGCTGGGAGGGGAATACACCACGATTGTTGCCTGCTAGTAGAATAGTTCTAGTGGAATAGTGAGTTGTGACGACGGGTTCATCTACACAGCCCAGTTGACAGACCTGGCTTCAGAGTCTGAGTTCCAGCCCAACCGGCAACTTCAAAGCACTGTCTACACAGCTACAGTTAGAGTGCTAGTGTGAGAACCACAACCCCGCTAGGCTGACTGGGTACCCTAAGGTCCATGCATAGGACACTTTGAACTTAGTATCTGACCCATATCCCCTTCGATTAGCAACACCCCGCACAAGCCCATTTCCAGGCCTCCCTTGGTGAACATCTGCCATCTGCTGGAATCGCCAGAGAAAGGATATGATTTGTCAATTGTAGCATGAGCATCACCACATGTCAAAATGAAGTAGGTTAAGTGAAACTGCAGAGAATGAACAGCCGGTAGATTCGTGGCATGGAAGGGCTGCAGAAAAGAAGAACCTCACTGTGATTCCTAATACAAGAAATCAAAGGTTAAGGACATAACCTGCTCCACCTAACGGGGGCACACTGCACATGGCCTAAACTGAAAGATGCAGTGAGAAAAAGTTTAGAGTGGCTATTAGGAGGGCCGGCTCTCGGTCTTTTGCCACCCCAAGCAAAAAAAACCAACCAACCAACCAAACAAAAAAAACCTCAGAGAGCGCAACTGCCGAAGCAAAACGCACGTGCTTGCTTTGCTAGTGCCTAGAGTCGGTCCTGGCTATTAGGACAGGCTGCTTTCTCTTGGAGAGGCACCTGGGACAGTCTGCTATGTCATGGGAGACAGCAAGACCACTAGTGGATTTAGGACGGAGATAAATACTCTGACTCAGAACAGGGAGGTGGACATGCTTGCTGAATACCAGCCTGCCCCTGCCATGGGAAATGGATTGAGATGGAAATCTGTTTCTGTACATCTATGAATTCTATACTCTAAGTCTGGAAACTGACTAATGGGCTCTCCTCGCATGATGAAGACCTAGGTCTATCCCAAAGGGCAGATACAGATGTAACAGCGTATAAGAGTCTATCCCATTCCAAGAAAACAACACACATCTTGGTCTTAAAAAATGGCTTAAATTAAAGTCATACAATGTGGGCCAAATGCTCTGTTGGTACATGCGGTGCGTTTGGCTTCTCATCTGGGTATAAACACCAGAGACACAAATTCATTAGCTGCCCCAGCCTGCACGATTGCTATTTTGGACAGACTCGTGAACAGAGTTTTCATGTATCAAGCTTAAAAAAATAAAAGATTTTCTACCACCAGTGAAGTACACATACACACACACACACACGTTTTAATAGCTTATTTGCTCCCCTGGCTTTGCCAGTCCCTGCTTTATCCAAACAAAGATTTCCCAGAACATGTCATAACAAGGCTCCGACGCTTATTTAGGTTTAGTTAAAACAACAGCAGCTGCTTCAGTTAACTCCTCATTGGAATTTCTTTGCCACACGGGGCTAAAGAAAACATTGGTTTTATACGCGATATCCTAGAAACTACTTCCATAGCCTGTGTGCAGATTTGACATGCTGCTGTATGGACCCATTTACATCCCAGCTGAAGTGAAATATGCACCGACTGTAGCTTTTCCCAGGTTTTCCATGGCCATTAAAACCCACGTAGAAGATAGGAAGGAAGTTCATTTCTTACCTATATCTCATGCCCGTCTTGTGAGCTGTGCAATCCTCCAGCGAGAGCCCGTGCATTTTGAGAAACTCTTCCATGGTTTTGGCCTGTGCTGCCACTCGGACATCTCGCAGCCGCTGCAGCTCCACCACATCTGTATGGCGAACCGGGTGGAGACCCCAGTCCGAGTGGTACCGGCTGGCCACGCTTCTCAGGCTTTCACTGTATGTCATGGACAGCATTCTGCTGCCCGATTTGGAAATCTGCAAATTTTTCCAGATATTAAATGCTTAACTGAATCTACACAGAAGATCTGTGTCCTTCTGGAGGCAGGTGTCTATCATTCCCTCTCGAGCAGCTAGTAGTGACCTTGTAGGACACAAACTCACAAAACCAAAACTCCTCCTCTCCAGCTCAGCCAGACAACCAGTAAAACACGTCAGCACCTCTAGTAAATGCTCCTACACTCACACAACAAATAGACACTACACTTGCACATGTTCACAGAAGTCAGGTTCTGCTTGCTGGAAGGAAGTTCGTCCTTAGAGCTAATCCACGTACCTGAGCAAACTGAAGTCACTAGCAAGTCAAAAAGAAGCCTGAGCGCCTTTTAAACTGCAAAATAATTTAATTAATCAAAACAAAAGGTTTCCACATAAAAACCAAGCCCCACAGAGAACGCAGCATGAAATAAAGCAGAGCAAGGTGGAATGTCCAGTTGCATGGCTTGAAGCGGCTTTTGGTCATACGGTGACAAACTGGCTGAATGCATATTAAGCATTAACACTAGATATGCATTCACGACAGCATGCACTGAAGCTACGCCTCTTTAGGAAACCCTCATTGCGATGGATTCTGAAGGATTACAAGGGCAGCATTGAGAAATCTTTGGGGTTTTATCTATGCAACAACTGGGATCTTTTTTTAAAACAACCGAATGAATTGCTCTTCTGGGGTGCGATCAGCCCCACTGAACTCAATGGGAGTCTTTCCTTGGACCTCAACAGAAGCAGGGTCAGGTGATGAATCCTTTCGGCTTGGGCACTAAGAGGCCTTCGCTCTGTGATGAGTTAGGAAGAGTTACGTGAATTCCTTACTCAGTACTGTACATGAGACAGATACTCTGTGTGAACGCAATGAAGATCAAACCACCCTTGGCTGGCTGCACTCATTTGAAGCCAAAAAAAGACCTGCAATCTGTAATCTAAGGGGTCTCAGCTTTATCTGCATTAGGCGCTTCCTCATGTATTGAAATCACCTAAACTGTCTCCTGGTTAAGAATGAAGATTTAGGATTTCCACTGACAGAGCCTACAGAAAACCTGCAGGGCATTATTTGCAAAATGTTTCAGAAGAAAAGCCACACCAACAACACTTTGTAATTCAATGGTGCAGCTAAAAACTTTCCCCTAGAGCAGTTACTTTGAAAACTTAATTAGAATGAATGTCATGATAGCTGTGGCAGACAGTAAAAGACTGCATTCTTCTGCACACTGTCCAGTGCATGCACATACACTGTAGAAGGTGTAATTAATAAATGTCTAGGAATAGTCTTTGGAAAAATCCCTATATGAATGTAAACATCCTGGAAAGCTCAGAGATCTAAGAAGTCTTTAGCAAGAGCGTTTTTAGCTTTGCTGGATGATTCATCATTACCTGATTTGTCTTAAAGCTTTTGCAAACAAGATGTAGATTATCACATTTATTTCTCAGCAGGAAAAAAATGATTTCTTCAGCTGCTTAAACTTCAGCGTATGTTAGGAGTTGGTACTGTGTCACTTTCACAAAAACCTTGTAGCAGGGACTTGTCAGATTGATGTTACAGATGTTTTCATACTAAATGCCTCTCTTCTGGTTGCAGAACAATTACATGGATATTATAGATAGTTATTCCAACGTATTCTGGCAGGGAAACTAGAAATGTATCAAACAGCAAAGTGATCCCTGCATCACGAGTTTGTGGCAGTTTGTAGATCAAAATCTGGCAGTTTGTGGTTCTTCAGATTTCTAATGGCTCCTCTGACTATATCACTGATCCTGGGTTTTTTTAGCTGGTTGCTGGTTTGTGAGCACTTGGCCACATATGGTTTGCCACTCGGTATCTGGTTAAATAAACGCTCCACAGAAAATGCCACAAAAGAAATTTTTGGGGGCATTGCATGGATTTGAGCGAGCAACATAAAAAAGAAGAAGTTTAATCTGGTGTCAATCGGCATAACTCCATGAGTGGAGTAAGCGGATTGACGCCGGATAAGGATCTGGTTGTCATAGTCAGGCAGGCCAAAATGCATGTCTGCACCATCTGGAATGCAGAAAAAGTTAGCAATCTTATTAGGCAATAAAAGTTGCACTTCAAAGTGGACACAGCACCCTCTCTCAACTAGACCCCTGCCCCAAGAGGGGAACACAATGACAATGGCTTGCATACCCCCCTCTTGATTCAGCTAACTAATCCAGGACCCTTGGCTGGCTGCACTCTTCAGAGGAAAATGCAATGTCTATGCAGCAGACTGCTGCAATCTGTGCATCAAGCCAATATTTTTATCTGCAGCAGCATACACGGCACAGGACCGTGTCATCGAATTTCCATTCAATGCAAGCTGCTGAAAATAACCTGCTGAGTGTGCGGCAGAGCTAGTCTCTGTGAGAGACAGCACACAAACCCCTCCACCACACCAGGGTGCAGGGCGCTCTTAGGCAGACTGAGGACGGGAAGAGAGCTTATGATGTTTCCCCATGGCTTTTTGAAACACCCAAAGTATTCGGTGTTTCAGGTGCCTGAAGTTAAGCTCTATGGCCATAAGTAGGCACATAAATAAGTGCCTTGATTTTCAGAGAAGCTGGGAGCCTATGGCACCTGCTGAAGTCAATGCTCAGGGCCACTGGAAATGAGGCCACGTGTTCAGATCTAAGATGCTCCCCCTGTGAAAATGTTGGCCCTAGTATTTTATCAGTGCCTGTGGGTCACAGTGCGCTGGACAAGATGGTGCCATTCGCACCTGACCAAAGGAAGCCGATAGCGGCGTAGGTAAGTTTGGAAGCACATAACGGTTAACCACAACTGCACACTGACACTGATGCAATCTGCTTTTAGGGCCCTTCCAGTTTTCACCCTGGCAGGATGAATTCCAGTTTCTCATTGTTTTTAACGAATGAAAACTGAGGCGATCTCAACCCAGATCAAGTTTTTATTTTGGGGTCAGAGGTCCCAATCAAGAGCTCCAGAATTTTGTACTGAAGGTACTGGGGAAAACTGTGACTCTGTTTCAGGGGTCAGGGCCACTCTCACTTCTGGATCTAGTGCAAACCTGGAGTCTGTGGGTTGAACCAGAAAATGCAAAGTTAGGACATGTTCAGAAATCTAGCTGTGCTAGTCTCCAAAGAGGTGTTAGATGGGTAGCATGAACAGCATCAACAATTCTTCCAGCGAACAAACAGCCAGCACTTACTCTTCCCTGTGCGGCACCAGCACGTTGACACCATGGTTGTACATTAGATGCAGTGATATAGCTTAGCTCTTAGTTTCTCAGCAAAACACAAGACATAAGGAGAACAACAATGACTATATAATTGCTTTTTCTGAGACAAACTCATAAGTGTCAGATGCAAGCTAAATTTTGCGGTATTTTCTCTCAAAGAGCACAGAAGATGTATTGCTTTTCCAACCAAATGTAACCTCAAAAGAATCAATAACCATTAGTGTGCAAGAAATTAATGTGAAAAACCCCAAGAATTCCTGTAACAAACATTATTTCAAGAAATCTTTTAAAAATCCTCAGCTTTAGAAAAATAATGTAGTGATCAAAATCCACACTTTCACGCAGTGACTTGAGGAGTTAAATAGCTGGACTCACTTTTTAGAAAGAGCTTCATAAAATCATTGAAGTTAGAAATGGAAAAAAGTACTCCATCCTCTTGCCAATACAGGATCACTTATTCTGACTATGTTTTGCAGTACTTTGGACATTTGCAACACTCATGTCTTCCAGTAAAAGTATGGTTAGAATCTTCTGCATTTGACAGTCACATTTTCCACTCTTTTCACATCAGATATGAGGATGCAGCACCCAAGAAGTTCTACCAATCTTAGTGTCTAAGGATTTGATCCAGTCAATGAGAATTTCACCCGAGTACGGCGGGAAGGGCTGGACTACATGAAAAATGAAGGACTGTATTTAAAGAGTAAAAGCAGAAATTAGTAAGCCTGCTAGCATATCTACCTGTGTGCCTAGCTTCACAAGAATTATTTGGACTGACATGCTACTACCTACAACAAAAGACAAAGGTCTCAAAACCCTATAGTTCTCCTTGATAGTAATTCTAGAGGCAGCAAAAAATTATGTTGTTTTTAGAGCCCATTTCCTCCAGGGACAAAGAATGAAAGGTTAACACGGTTAAACATGGACAACAAACAAAGCTGAACATAAACAAAGGGTGAACAACACAACTTTTTCAGGGCTAACCATTTTTATCTTGACAAAATGCCAGTAGCTCTTACCAGGCAAAAATGTGCCCTTGATCATTTTTTTCCAGCACCTTTTTGGAAACTTCAGTGCTCTATATTTTCAGTCATTAATTCTTCTGCTAGAACTCAAACTAGTGCTTTTTAGGAGCTAGAACTAAGGTTAGATCTGTGACAAGAAAGGGGCACACTGTACCCTATATGCAGGCAGCTCTCCCGGCTCCATTTCTTGTACTATTTGCTGATTGATGACTTAATAAAAATTAGAGGCAAACCTACAATACTGCACGTTAGTTTTTTAGGGTCCTATCCAGTTGCAATTAAAGTCATCGGACGGACTGAGATCAGTGGGAGCTGGACCTGACCTGGGTTGAGGAGCGCAGGGCTAGCTGAACAGAGGCACAGCTTGAACATGGCATATCAGCCTTTATGTATTTACACTTTTGGTTAACATTACTTAGCCGCAAGTGTCGACAGCAGAGTAAAGACATTTTAATCACCAATACATGGCCATAGTCATTTATAAAAAATATTTAACATAATATGGACATGAACAAAATCTCAGTTTTGGATTATAAAAACCTGCAGGAGACTAAATAAAAAATATAAAAATGCATGAGTGGCTGTTGAATTATCTCAGATTTCCAGTCTGTTTTTTATGCATCACAAAAAACAAAAGAACATGACACTAGAATTTCAGCAAACAAAAAATAATTGTATTTTCTAGAACATGTACAGCAAGTAAAAAACATAATACGTTCCAAAATGCATCACGCATTTGAAAGGCGGAACGAGTGGAGGCTATATTGAGAAAGCAATGGTCTAAAGTAAGCAAATTAGCAGCTGGTTTCCAATTATAACAGTTTTATTCTTTAAAATATAGGCAAAGAACTTGCTTGAGTCAACAGTTTGGAGGTAACTGAACTGCCTTCTCTAAAATATAAACAAACCATGCAAACACGGAATTCACTTGTATAGTTGAACTGAGAATATTTCAAGATACCCAGCCCCGAAGAGATGCTAAAATCCATTGTAACATCACTGAAAATGGAAAAAACCCTAACATTTAAGAGCCAGCAGCACCACTTATAAGGAATGAACAGCCAGTTTACAAATAGGACTAGTTTCAACCTGACACACAGTAGCTTTGGCATCTATTTCTCTTGTAAAAGATTTATTTCTCATTTTCCTACAGACAGAAAGCAGCTGAACTACCAAGAATTCCTGCCTCCACCAACGGAGCAGGCATCTTGCTTTAAAACAAAAAATACAAGACCCTAAAAATTATTTCCTAGACCACTTCCTATGTTAAGAAAGCACAGATTATATATATAAATATATTTCATAATACCAAAAGGACTCTGCCTATCTGTTCCGATAGCTTCAGGAAAAACACAAACTCACCCTGTTTCTTGGAATCCTGCTCATTAAAAGAAAAGTTCTAGCTTATTAGGGTTTCCTCAGATAGCTATAAAAGAAAGTACTGCTGGGGTTTTTTTTCATCATGGGAGTGTCAAAACTAAATGTCAAAAGCAATTGGTGAATAAGACAGTCACTCCAGAGCCAAGTTTTTTAGCAGGAGCTCCATTAGTTCTATTAGGGTATTTTCCTCTTAGCAAACAGAAGCTAAATTATTCATGACCTTCTCCCTCTCTAAAAGCCTGTGGATGTGCAGCCGCTTTATGAATATTGGCATCATTTACTTTTTTATAAAGCAGATACTTGTCAGACGCTGTGGACAGGCACATCCCAATGATAGGTTCCACCTCTAGCAAGCCATTGTTATGATGATGAGCTATTGTGGTGGTAAGTGCAATAGAAACCCCTATAAATAAACTCGAAGTGCAGTTTCCTCTGTCATGCTGGAGTAACTCCCTTGCAGTTAGTGCAGTTACACTGGTATCAAACCAATGCAACAGGGAATCAGGATCTACAGCTGAATAGTGTGACACTGGCAGACCAGGTGTCAGCTCATGCCAAGGCCCCAGGCCTCTCTGAACACTTACAAATGCAGAGCTGGAAACCAGTCTTGCTTACCTGTGTGTTAGCACTATCCAAATAGATATTAAATGTTAAGTTGATAAGAATGTGTTTAGACTTTATGAAATGCTGGTAGGATGCTGCGTATATTGATCTCATTTATAATCTCTACAGCCCATGGTATAAAATTATACTGTTTGCTACACATCTTGTGTACCGGAGGAGCACTTTACCTTAATCAATGCTTCTTTTCCTGTTTGGTGAGTTACACAATTTACAGAGGTTTACAATGCAATCAAAGGACAGACTTTGTTGACTGCATTGCTAACTCCATCCAGGAAGGAGAGACCTGCGCATGAACTCATGCCATCAGCTTGGATTCTGGGCTCGGGGGGGCAGGAGGGGTGGGGAATAAAAATCGCTGACAAGGAGAAACTGGTCTCTTTGCTCTTTGGCCTCTCACAAGGGCTGGAGCTAAGAAACAAAAGCAGAGATCCCCAGGGTCAACCTGGGTTAGCCCTCAAAGACAGTCAGTGGACAGATTACAACATCTCTGTCACCTTTTGGAACCACAGACTTAACTTATTTGTGTATATATGTTGCCTGTTTTAACCTGTAAATAACTCTCTCATTTCTTTTCCCTAGTTAAAAAATCCTTTGTTACTTTACTCTAGGATTGGCTACAAGCATTGTCTTTGGCATGAGATCTCAGGTACAAATTGACTTGGGGTAAGTGACTGGTCTCTTGGGACTGGGAGCAACCTGAATCTTTTGTGATTTTTGGTATAAGTGACCATTTATAGAATCATAGGACTGAAGGGACCTCCAGGGTTCATCTAGTCCAGTCCCCTGCACTCAGGGACTTACCGCTAAGTCCAGCTTGCCTGGGTGGCAAGATAGACTGGAGTGCCCCAGCGGACTGTCTGTGATACCATGGTAAGACTGGCACAGTGTTTCAGGAGTTCCTATTTGTTACCGGGTTGGTGAAATCTAATTATTTTTGATAATGCCAACCTCAGGGCAGACTCACAGTCATGAACCCTCCAGACAGCATGACAAACAGTTCAAAGTAAAAACTTTTCTCCAGTACGTAGTTTGAAAACAAATACTAAGAACAGTTATATTATACACAGATATTAAAAGCTCTTGCTATTTGTGAAAGCAAAGGTTCCATGGAGACTTTCATTATAACCCTCTAATATTCTCATAATGTCCAAAAAAGTTCTCTTAATTGGCAGAAGTTTTCCATGCTTGGTCTAAGCCCAGATGCGAATTTGTCAGGAAAACCACAGCCAAATTTACGTACTCACTTTTAAATCACACCCAGGTAAAAGGAGAAAAACCAAAAAAACACTCTTCTTACAGAAGAAAGAACAAGACTGTTTGGCTGTAAACCAAAAAAATGACTAAAATCTACAAATTGAGACTCCCTAGGTTAGTAGTCCTCCGAGATTACTAGAGAAAGAGCAAACTGGCGGGAGAATCAGTTCTGCACAGGGCAGCATGAAATTTCTGCTAAGTTCAGAATTCCAACACTATTTAATGGGGCCGTGGAATCACAAATACACAACAGCCGTGAACTATGCAGGTGAGGTGTTTGCACTATTATTCTCACTGTGGAGTTGAATACTTTTTTTTTTGACCAAGTGGTTGTAGAAGTGCACAGTGAACTCAGGAGAGAGATTTAGGGAGGAAGGGGGAATCAAACACAAAAATATCAACGTTAGGGTCACCTTTTACACACTCAAAAGTCAGGAGGAAATGCAGAAGTTATGGGGCCCAATACTGAAGTTTAACTAAATCGTGCTCAGCCCAGCACTAGGGGATAGGGTTTGAGGGGGCACTTGGACAACCTTGATCCTGTGGCTGTTCCAACTCACTCCCACATGCCACAGTCATCCCGAGCAGCCATTAGAGTAGCCGTGGATTGCCAGAGGGATGCCAGCGCCCCCCAATGCACTTGCTACCCCACAGCTGTACCAGCATGGCATAGGGCACTATGTGTCCATCCAGAGATTCTACCTCACCAGGGGAACCGTTAGCTGGCCAGTTACACTTTCCAGCCCTTTTGGACTGCTGTAATGGCACAAAGGGACTTGAACTGGGCCACGGATCAGGCCTGCAGTGCTCTCATGGAGCATTGTGAATGGCTAGTTACATGGCCAAAAGTAACCCACGCTGGGCCCAGGTCTGCTCAGTGCTTAATAATAGCTTTCTACCAAGTTACCAAGAGGCATTACCTTGTCTTTTGAATTGCTTGCTTTGAGGGTTTAAGCACAGCCTTACATTACGGTATGTTCAGGCACACGGGTCATTGCTAAATGGCGAACATAAAGCCACCAAATACCCAAATAAAATAAAGAGAAAAAGAACATTTATAAAGCTCTGACTCTGCAAACATGCTCACATCTAGCTTCAAGGCCAGGCACAGTCCCACTGATCCTTAAGGGACTGGTCTCATACTTAAACAGGTTAGGAAGCATTTGCAGGATCGGGGGGCAAAAGAACAGATCTTGCTCCCCCGGACGTCGATGGTAAATCACCCTTTGAAGTCTGTGGTGCAGAATCACAACCAAAGAGAGCACATGTCAAGCAAAGCAAGTGGAAGTCCATGAGATCCTATTAAGGAGAAAAGCGCATGAGGGGTTTTAACTTTTTAATCCATCCGCTCTTTTTAGTAGTACTAATAAGTGGCCATTACTAATGTTGGCCATGTGCCAAACAACTCATCTGAATTGTTCTTTAGATTTCTTCCATGCCTAGAATTCCCCAGATTTCCATAAACCATCTGTTGATTGCTCAAGGTAATAAATATTCACAGAAAAGTATTTGCATTATTTGTGCAGCATTAATGATTAGAGGTTTTGCTTTAATTAGCTATTTATTCATTGCTTTGCATATTGTTGTAGAGTCAGTGTAGCTGAGTGATCACTAACTACATATCTAGGAATGCATGAGGATAAAATGTTATGACAGAGTTTTCATGATGTTCCTGTTTTTGCAGCATTACCAATTACTCCACCAGTGGTTTAAGACACTTCTCCCTCTTTTATAATCTTACCTTACCCCTCTCTTGCCCCATCCCTCTTCTCATTCAATACTTATTCTGTTTCATTTGTGTGGCTTTATGTAGGTATGAGTTGAGAACATCAATTATCAATTAACAAAGAAGTGTGCAGATTTAGGCTAGAGTGCCAAAAGCAGCCTCATACTTCCTTATCCTCCACACTTGTGTCTGGATCAGTGATTGGTTCAGGAATTTGCTGTATTGTTACATCATTAACTTAAGCCTCCAGCAATGTTCAAATAGTTTCCAGCACTCCATTAACACGGTGTTTGTAGGGGGTAAGTGGTTCCTTCGATTTTAGACAGTAAAAGGATGAAGAAAAATTATTTCGTCTTAGACCCAAGGTAATGGTGTTTCTCTTAATGCACATACCCATATTAACAGGGCCTGGACAAGAGCCCAGTGGAACTCTGGGGAAAAACAAATAGGTCTGGGTTTTGCCAACACATCCTCACAGTTGCATAGCAGCCTCACCCTGAGAAATATGTATGTGTTGTAGTTGAGTCAAAAGACAGGAATATTGACACCACCACCACTCTTGTATTCTGTATGACTATTTTTGACCCGAAGATGTCAGGATACAAGTATCCCCATTTCTGATTTTGAAAATACGGTCCCCTTAGTATGCAGTAGATGGGTGCTGAGTGCCAGAATGGAGACTGCCCCATGATCTTAGCTGAAAGAGCCACTCCTGCACTCTGCTACACCCAGATTCCAGGCTCCCTTGAACGGCTGAGTCAATGTAAACATACATTTCATTGGACGATCAACACAGCACAGACTAACATTTTGGCTACAGAGCTCCCCACCAGGCTCCTAATCATCCCCAACCCTCATCCCATGTCTCAGAGAAGTGACAAATTCATTATGTGCCACAGGCTTGCAGCCTTTCGTTTTACCTCTGGCTCTGTAGGCCAAGGTTTTCAGAAGTGACTCGCCAATTTGGACAACTCCATTTTTACATATCCAACAAGTAATACTTTAACGGAGCTTGATTTGCAGAAAGAGCTGAGCTCCCATGTCAGGGAATCGGGCCCCTTTAAGGGGTCTCAGGCTGGGCACCCAAAAACGGAGGCACCACGAATCACTAGTCACTAATGTTAGCCCATAAATGTAAGATGGTATTGTTCCTTCTGGCCAGTGTAATAGGGTATGTGAAAAGGTCAAGTCTCTCTTTCTCTCTCAACAAGGATGGGATGGAATTGTAACCGAATTTGTACACTAGACTGTCCTGGTTTTTTTATTTCGAGCATTGCCATTTCTGATCTAGCAATTCTTTGGACTTCCAACAGACTGCCATCCAAAAGCACTTAACACTTTGCTAAATTATTGTATACAAATTGTACACACACACACACACACTTAATTTAATCATAGGCAAAATAAGTGTAAGTGCAGCTATCTCAGTAATTT